CGCTCCAGCAAACACTCCCCCTAGGACATCAGTCCCAGCCCTGCCCAGGTGTAACCCATCCAATTTGTACTGGTCCCACCTCCCCCAGAACCGGTCCCAATGCCCCAGGAATCTGAAACCCTCCCCCGACACCATCTTTGCAGCCACGTATTCAACTGATGTATCCTGTCATTTCTGCTCTGAATTCTGAGTACAGAAGTTGGGAAGTTATGTTGCAGTTGTACAGGAAGTTGGTGAGGCCGCACCTGGAATATGGCATTCAGTTTTGGTCACCTTGCTATAGGAAGGATGTTGTTAAACTGGAAAGAGTGCAGAGGAAATTTACAAGAATGTTGCAAGGACTCAAGGGACTGAGTTATAGGGAGAGGTTGGACAAGCTAGGGCTTTTTTCTATACAGCACAGGAGACTGAGGGGGGGATCTAATCGAAGTGTGAGATCATGAGAGGCATAGATAGGGTGAATGCACTCGGTCTTTTTCCCAGGGTTGGGGAAATCGAGGACTAGAGGGCATCAGTTTAAGGTAAAAGGGGAAAGAATACATGGGAACCTGAGGGGTAGCTTTTTTTTTTTACACAGAGGGTGGTACACATGGAATGAGCTGCCAGCGGAAGTGTTTGAGGCAGGTACATTAACAACATCTAAAAGGCATTTGGACGAATTCATGGATAGGAAAGGTTTAGAAGGATATGGCCAAGTGCATGGATTTGGGGTTAGCGTGAATGGACATTTTGGTCAGCGTAGACCCGTTTGTACAGTCTCCGTGCTGTAGGACTCTATGACTCCAGCCTCAGGCAACTGACTGCGTGGAGTTTGCACATTCTCCCCGTGTCTTCGTGGGTTTTTGTTGGGTGCTCCAGTTTTCTCCCACAGTCCAAAGATGTGGAAGTTAGGTAGATTTGCCATGCTAAATTACTCAAAGTGTTGAGGGATGCATAGGTTAGGTGCGTTAGCCATAGGAAATGCAGTGTTACAGGGATAGGGAGGGGAATGGGTCTGGGTGGGATGCTGTTCGGAGGGTTGGTGTGGACTCGATGGGCTGAATGGCCATTTTCACACTATGGGGATTCAACAGAAAAATGCAAACACTGCACAAACTGCAGATTAAAAAGAAGTAGGTGCAAGAAAACACCACATGAACGTCTTTAGCCTGTTTTGCCATTCAATATGGATCTATTGGTAGCGTAAATACCAATCTCCTGCCTGACCCCATGATTTAATGTATCCGTAGCACAATAAAATCAAACTCAATACGACATTATTTCAGTCCCCACCAATACTTAAAGCCAGTGTTATACAGTGACAGACCTGACCTATTATTACTGTACCCCAGCATTTTACAGTGACAGACTTATCCCCACTCGTACTGTACCCCAATGTTATGCAGTGACAGACCTGTCCTCTTCGGTACTGACCCCCAATGTTATACACTGACAGACCTGTCTACACCATACAACCGTTAGGTACGGGAACAGAATTAGGCCATTCTGCCCATCGCGTTTGCTCTGCCATTTGATCATGGCTCACAGGTTTCTCAACCCCATCCTTCTGCATTCTCCCCATAACCTTCAATCCCCTTACTAATCAAGAACCTATCTATCTCTGTCTCAAAGTCAATCAATGACTTGGCCTCCACAGCTTTCTGCAGCAATGGGTCCCACAGATACATCACCCTATCGCTCTAAACATTCTTCTCATCTCAGTTCTAAAAGGTCATCCTTTCAGTCTGAGGTTGTGCTCGTGTCCTAGTCTCTCCTACTAGAGGAAACATCTCCATGTCCATTCTATCCAAACCTCTCATTATTCTCTAAGTTTCAATCAGATCACCCCTCATCCCCTTGAGTACAGACCCAGAATCCTCAACCGTTCCTCAGATGACAAGACCCTCGTCCCCAGGATCATTCCTGTAAACCTCTACCAAACACTCTTCAGTTTCTTTGTCCAGATCATTAATGTATAACGTGAATATTTGTGGTTCCAACACTAACTCCTGCAGAACTTCACCCGTCATCCACTACCATTCTGAAAAAGACCCTTTGTTCCCAGCCTCCTGTGCATCACTATGTTCAAGGCCTTCTCGAATCCAAATAGATCACATTCAGTGACTCTCCTTTGTCTAACTTGCTTGTAAGCTCCTCAAAGAATTCTGACAGATTTGTCGGCATGACATCCTCTTGATAGTACTCTGCTGACTCAGCCCTGTTTTAACATGCACTTCCAAGAACTCTGCAATCTCATTCTTAATAATGAACTCTAAAATTTTAACTATGAGCAAGGTAAGGCTAACCGAGCTATAATTTTTTGTGTTCTGCCTCCCTCCCTTCTGAAACAGGGATGTTACATTAGCCATTTTCCAACCCTCTGGCAATCTCCCTGACTCCAGTGATTCCTCTGCAATCTCCTGAGCTATCTCCTTCAGAACTCTGGGATGTGGTCCATCCAGTCCAGATGATTTATCCACCTTCAGACTTTTCAACTTCCCCAGCACTTTTAGCTTAGTGATGGCCACTTCTGTCCCCTGACTCTCAAAGTTCTGGTATACAGCTGATGTCTTGCATCATGAAGACTGATGCAAAATACCTATTCAGTTCCTCTGCCATTACTTTGCTCCCCATTACTACTTATCGAGCCCCACTTTCCAGCGATCAAATGTCCACTCTTGCCTCTCTCTTAACTATTATATATCTAAAATAACTTTTACAATCTTCTTTTATGTTACCAGCTAGCTTACTCTCTTATTTCACCTTCTTTATTTTATTGCGCTTTTTCAGTCATCCTCTGTTGGTCTTTAAAAGGTTCCACTTATCTTCAGCGCATTATATACTTTTTCTTTTGCTTTTCTGCTGTCCCTGACTTCCCTTGTCAGCATGGTTGCCCCATCCTCCCCTGAGTATGTTTCTGCACTCTTTTCTGCTATGCCTCTTGAATTACACCCAGAAACTCCTGCCATTGCTGCCCCTCCATCTTCCCTACTAGGCTCGCCCTCCAATTAGCTCTGGCCAACTCCTCCCTCACATCTTTGTAGTTACCTTTATTCAATTGTAATCCCATTACATCTCCAGAATCTCCCTTTCAAACTGCAGGGTGAATTCTATTATATTGTGGTCACATCACTAAATCCAGAATTATCTGTTTCCTAGACAACAAGGTGCAGAGCTGGATGAACACAGCAGGCCAAGCAGCATCATAGGAGCAGAAAGGCTGACATTTCGGGTTTCTGATGAAGGGTCTAGGCTCGAAACGTCAACCTTCCTGCTCCTATGATGCTGCTTGGCCTGCTGTGTTCATCCAGCTCTGCACCTTGTTGTCTCGGATTCTCCAGCATCTGCAGTTCCTGCTATGTCTTATCTGTTTCCTAGTGGGCTCTACCACAAGCTTCTCCAAAAAAAAAAAAAAAATATTGTATACATCCCACAAATTACTTTTCTTGGCATCTGCTACCAATCTGATTTTCCTAGTCCACCTCCATACCGAAGTTGCCCATGTTATTTTAATAGTGCCTTTCTTACATGTCTTTTCTACTGCTAGGGTTTTCTCCTTTACAATCTCTCAACTCTCCCCACACAGATTCTACGCTTTCCAACCCTATATTGATTCTTGCTATTGATTTAGTTTAATTTGTTATGAATAATGCAATCCCACCCCTCTGCCTAACAGCCTGTCCTTTCAATAGAATCTTACCTCTAGATGTTTAGTTCCCATCCCTGATCTCCTCGCAGCCACGGCTCTGTGATACCCACAACCTTGTACCCGCCAATTTCAATCTGCACTACAAGCTCAATTATCTTGTTTTGAACACTGCATGTATTTAAGTACAGCACCCTCAGTCCTGCATTGACTGTCCCCCTTCTCACAGTTGTCCTCTTGTCTGCTGTGCCGTTGTTAGATTTCTGATCCTTTCCATATTCTCTGTTCTATTACTTGTTCTGGAAACTTTAATAACTTCTCCTGTTCCATACCCACCTTTAACTGGTTTAAAGTACCTCTGACTACCCTATTTAGCCTTTCCATTAGGATCCTATTCTCAGCTTGGTTCAGGTGGACCACATCCAGTCTTAAACAAATGACAGACCAGTCCCCATCAGTATCGTACCCAGTGTTATACAGGGACAGACCTGTCCCCACTAGTACTGCACTCCAGTTTATACAGGGACAGACTTGACCCCAACAGTGTCTTTCCCGGTGTTATGCAATGACAGACCTGACTCCACTAGTACTGTACTCCAGCATTATACAATTACAGACTTGCCTCCACCAGTACTGTACTCGTGTTACACTGTGACAGACATGTCCCTTCCAGTACTGTATCTCAGTGTTACACAGTAACAGATCTGTTCCCACCAGTACTGTACCTCAGTGTACCACAGGGACAGATCTGCCTCCACCAAAAGGAGGTCTGGCACTATATATTCAATGTGAAATACATCTATCTGCCTTCATCTTGCTATGATCTCATGCACTATTGATATTGCATCATTCCCTTGTCTTCACTAGAGACCAAGTCTGAATGGATTAATAGGAGCAATGATTGCATTAACATCACTTGTATTCTCCTGAATACAGAAGATTAAGGGTAATCTTATTGAGCTGTGTATTTGATAGATTCTCTTTCTTCCCTCTGATCTCATGTGAGGGAGTCCAGAACATGGGGCATAACCCTCAGTTCAAGGTGATCCATGCAGGAATGAAATCCAGAAAGCCTTTCCGACACTGAGTGGAATTCTGGAATTCTCTCCTGCAAAAAGACAGTGAATGGGAAAGGTGAACTGCAGCTTTCAAGACCGAGATCAACAAATGTTGTTGTATTTGAAGGACTATGGATCAAAGATTGGCCAATGGGGTTTGTGTCCTGATCACCCATCATGTTATTGAATGGGCAATAGGTTTTAGGAAGGAATTGGCCTCCTCCTATTCCCATTTTGGCCAGAACCTGTTTCCCAAGGCTCAGTTTGTTCTGGTATTTCTGAACCAACTCATTAACGTTATGCTGGCAGAGAGGTACCTAGACTGAAGACTGCAATTTCACCAGACGATGAGCTGTGAGGCCCAATGTAGACGCCAGAGACGAGGAGGAGGGTATCCTCAGCATTGAACTGGGAGAACTGGGTATAGCTCCAATTGTAGGGGCGCATGTTAGCGCTGTGCAACACGGAAATCTCCAAATCATTGCTCCACACCTGAAAGAGTTCACACAGTGAGGGATGTTGCAAAGACACAGAAATCATAAACTCACAGAACAAGAGGTCTTAAATTCAGAGAATGAGAGGGGTGGTAAAGACACACAGTGAGACAGGTTGTAAATTCACACAGAGAGATCTTACCTTGACAAAACAGTCCTTGGAACAGGATCCAAATAAGTAGCCATTATGAGAGAAGCTAACATGTAAGACTTGGTCACGATGTTCCTTCAAGGTCTCCACTTCCACACATGGAATTGTGTCGTACAGTCTCTGAAATTCACCCAACCATGAAACTGCAGCTACAAGAAATGAGATATTAGCATTGGCTTACAGAGTTTTCAGATATCTCTTTCAGTAAAACAATTATTGTGATTTTCCTTCCTGTGCCGTGTCTGCAATACAAGTACCAAATCTAAGCAGCTGTCTGCAGGGATGATGATGAGAGAAATGGATCTGTGGAACATGGTGCAGGTGGCATTTCCTTGTGAAATGTGAACTCGAGTCACAATGTTAGGCAGTGCAGCGTTTTGCTATGCTTTTCCTAGCTATGCTCATAATCAGAGCTAGAATAAATATCCCAGCATTAGCACGAGAGTTGATGAGTACAATGTCGTTGATGTGGTGTGTATGGAATTCCAAAAAATCATTTTACTCACAGAAGAACAAGATTGAGAGGGCATTGATAGAAAGTGATGTCAAAAGAAGCAAGGGTGATGTGAGAACAGACTTCTTCACTCAGCAAGTTGAGGGAATACGCTGCCTGGAAATGTGGTGAGGGCAGGTTCAACTGAGGCATTCAAGAGGGCATTGGATGGTTATTTGGACAGAAATGATATGAACAAAATCACAGAGATTTAAGGTTTTAGAGTAGATTTGTAACTCAGGTTGTGCATATGGTGTTGGTTGGCTCGCTGAGCCGGTTTGTTGTTCCGCAGACGTCTCATTACCCTGCTGGGTAACATCATCAGTGCAGCCTCCGATGAAGCGCTGTTGTGTTTTCCCACCTGTTATTTAAACTTTGGTGTCTGTTGAGCTGGATTACCTCATTTCCGGTTTTCCTTCGCAATGCAGTGTATATGGGGTCCAGCTCTATATGTTTATTGATGGCTTTCTTAGTGGAGAATCCAACTTCTAGGAATTCCCATGCTTGTCTCTGCTTCGCCTGTCCCAGGATCCTGGTGTTGTCCCAAATGAATTGGTGGTTTTCCTTATCCATGTGGATGGAGATGAGCGAGTACTGGTTGTGTCTTTTTGTTGCCAGTTGATGTTACATAGAACATAGAACATAACAGCGCAGCACAGGCCCTTCAGCCCTCAATGTTGCGCCGACCTGTGAAACCAATCTGAAGCCCATCTAACCGAAACTATTCCATTATCATCCATATGTTTATCCAATGACCATTTAAATGCCCTTAAAGTTGGCGAGTCTACTACTTTTGCAGGCAGGGCATTCCACGCCCTTACTACTCTCTGAGTAAAGAACCCACCTCTGACATCTGTCCTATATCTATCACCCCTCAATTTAAAGCTATGTCCCCTCGTGCTAGCCATCACCATCCGAGGAAAAAGGCTCCCACTGTCCACCCTATCTAATCCTCTGATCATCTTGTATGTCTCTATCAAGTCACCTCTTAACCTTCTTCTCTCTAATGAAAACAGCCTCAAGTCCCTCAGCCTTTCCTCATAAGACCTTCCCTCCATACCAGGCAACATCCTGGTAAATCTCCTCTGCACCCTTTCCAATGCTTCCACATCCTTCCTATAATACGGTGACCAGAACTGTACGCAACACTCCAAGTGCGGCCGCACCAGAGTTTTGTACAGCTGCAACATGACCTCATGGCTCCGAAACTCAATCCCTCTACCAATAAAACCTAACACACCATATGCCTTCTTAACAACCCTATCAACCTGGGTGGCAACTTTCAGGGATCTATGTACATGGACACCGAGATCTCTCTGCTCATCCACACTACCAAGAATCTTACCATTAGCCCAGTACTCTGCATTCCTGTTACTCCTTCCAAAGTGAATCACCTCACACTTTTCCGCATTAAACTCCATTTGCCACCTCTCAGCCCAGCTCTGCAGCTTATCTATGTCCCTCTGTAACCTGCAACATCCTTCCGCACTATCCACAACTCCACCGACTTTGGTGTCATCCGCAAATTTACTAACCCATCCTTCTACGCCCTCATCCAGGTCATTTATAAAAATGACAAACAGCAGTGGCCCCAAAACAGATCCTTGAGGTACACCACTAGTAACTGAACTCCAGGATGAACATTTCCCATCAACCACCACCCTCTGTCTTCTTACAGCGAGCCAATTTCTGATCCAAACCGCTAAATCACCCTCAATCCCATGCCTCCCTATTTTCTTCAATAGCCTACCATGGGGAACCTTATCAAACGCTTTACTGAAATCCATATACACCACATCAAGCGCTTTACCCTCATCCACCTGTTTGGTCACCTTCTCAAAGAACTCAATAAGGTTTGTGAGGCATGACCTACCCTTCACAAAACCGTGTTGACTATCCCTAATCAAATTATTCCTTTCTGGATGATTACAAATCCTATCTCTTATAATCCTTTCCAACACTTTACCCACAACCGAAGTAAGGCTCACTGGTCTATAATTACCAGGGTTGTCTCTCCTCCCCTTCTTGAACACGGGGACAACATTTGCTAGTCTCCAGTCTTCTGGCACTATTCCTGAAGACAATGGCGACATAAAGATCAAAGCCAAAGGCTCTGCAATCTCCTCTCTAGCTTCCCAGAGAATCCTAGGATAAATCCCATCCAGCCCAGGGGACTTATCTCTTTTCACACCTTCCAGAATTGCTAACACCTCCTCCTTATGAACCTCAATCCCGTCTAGTCTAATAATGTTAGTGTACTCTTGTGGCTAATTTCCCTCCTGTCTGTCCAATGTAATGTAATGTTTGTCGCAGTCCTTGCAGGGAATCTTGTATATGACATTGGTCCTATCCATAGTGGGTAGCGGGTGTTTGGTTTGGGTTAACAGTTGGCATAGGGTTGATGTGGGTTTGTGTGCACTCTGATGTCCAGTGGTCGTGGGAGTCTTGTGGTTAGTTCAGATGTGTTCCTGATGTAAGGTAGCATGATGTGTTTCGGGGTGTGCAGTATCTTCCTGGTGTTGTTCATGTAATAGGCATCTTCTGACCCAGTTTTTTGGGTATCCATTATCTTTGAATACCTGGAAGCGGTACTCCTCTTTTTGGCGTAGTTCTGTGCTTCTGCAGCATGCTGCTGCCCATTTAAATGTTCTCACGCAACTTCGTTTGTGTGTTAGGGTGGTTACTCTTGAAGTTCAGTACTTGGTCAGTGTGTGTGGCTTTCCTGTGTACCTTTGTTAGGAATTTCCCATTGGTCCTGCATTCCACCATGGCATCAGGAATGGGAGCTGTTTGTTCTTTTCTTCTTCCCTGGTGAATCTGATCCCAGTGAGGGCGTTGTTTACTAGTTAGTATGTCTTCTCTAGTTTGGTCCTTTTAATAACGACGAAGGTGTCGTCCACGTATCGTATCCATAATTGTGGTTGGATTAACAGAAGGGCTATATTTTCAAGTCTCTGCATCACCGCTTCAGCTATTAGTCTGGAGATGGGTGATCCCATAGGTATCCCGTTGATCTGTTCGTATATTTGGCCATTAAAGGTGAAGTGGGTGATTTGGCATAGGTCCAGTAGCTCCAGCATGTTGTCTGTGGAGATGGTGTCACTCGGGTCTTGTTCTTGTTTTAGTACTGTTGTCGTTGTTTCTCTTACTTGTGCTATATCTATCAATGTGAATAGAGCAGTAACGTCAAATGATACCATGGTTTCGTCGTTGTCTATTCTTACATCCTTGATGGAATTGAGGAACTCTTGGGCTGAGTGGATTGAGTGGGGTGACTTGCTGACAAGGTACTTTAGTCTACTTTGTAACTCCTTTGCTAATCTATTGGCAATGACTAATACAGCTAGTACAGGCATGATGGGCTGAATGACCTCCTACTGCACCATAACAATTCTGTCCTGAGCGTCATGAAATAAAAGGGACAGTAGCAACACAGATAAGAAATTGGCTGAGTGACAGGAAATTTTAGAGTGGCAAGCAGTTGCTGTCTTGATTGGGGAAGGTTTATAGCCGAGTTTTATTTATTTGTTCATGAGATGTGGGTATCGTTGGCTAGCCCAGCATTTACTGACCATCTCTAACTGCCCCTGATAGGAGCCAACCACATTGAGGTGGGTTGGAGTCACATGTAGGCTAGGCCAGGTAAAGTTGGCAGTTTCCTTCCCTAAAGGACATTAGTAAACCAGACTGGGCTTTTAATCAAAGGTAGTTACATTTCTTCCAAAACAAAGAATGTAACTATCTTCAATGGTCACCTTCAGATGAGCTTTTACTCCAGATTTTTATTGAATTCAAATTTTACCATCTGTCATGCTGGAATTCAAACCTGGATCCCCAGAATATTAGCCTGGGATTCTGGATTACTAGTCTGGTTCCCCCAATGGTTGGTGTTCAGGCCAACCTTATGGCCTATTAGGACTCTTCCTTACATATATATACACATGCAATTTGAAAATATGCAGATAACAAAAGAATGCAAGCATTGTGAACTATGAGATGGATAGACTTCAAAAGGACACAGCTGGGTGGGTGGACATGTGGCAGATGAAATTTAATGCAGACAAGTGTGAAATCATTCATTTTGGTTAGAAGAATGCAGAGAGACAATAGGAAACAATTGATACAATTCTAAACGGGGTGCAGGAACAGAGGGATCTGGGTGTTCATGTGTATAGTCATAAATGTGGCAGGTCAGGTTGAGAGAGTGGTTTCATAAAGTATACGAGAACTTGAGCTGTATAAATAGGAGGATAGAGTATAAAAGCAAGAAAATGATATTAAACCTGTTGTTTAAACTCAGAGTATTAGAAGCGTGTAGAAACAAATGAAGGATGAGGTCAGAAATAGCCAATACTTAAAGATATGAAAATGGATAAATGAAACGAACAGCTGTGAATTCCCCAGGTAGGAGCCAGGGTAACGGCAAAGGTTAATCCAGACCAAAACAGGCTTTGCCCCAGATGGCAGGAACCACATGAGGTGATGATGATTGCTGATATGCATGCATTTATAGATATGTAAGGAAAGTGTAAATGGAAACATTACACCCAGTTACAGATACATGAAGGATCACAAAACAGTCATCCTGGATGACAGGAGCCAATGTTGCTGCTTTTATAGGTTTGTAGTCTAGATGTTTGCAGACACACCAGAAAT